ACACTACTTGGTGGTGCGATAGGCGAACCGGGACGCTTCGCCATTGCTTGATTGGACGCGCGCCCCCTTCGCGCCAATCCCCGCGTGCTTGCCGCGCCGAGCGCTGGCAGCAGTAACGGCAAGCGCAGCAACGGCGACGGCTGCGTCCACGGCCATGCCGTAGGTCGCCGCACGGAAATGCGGCGTTAGGCCGACGCGCCCAGTGCGAACGCGCTCATCCAAGTGCGAGACGTGCCCACACGTAAGAATGAGCACCCGCTATGGAGCGCAGGCGGCAGGAGCGGCAAGCGCAGCAGCGGCGACGGCTTCATCCACGGCCATGCCGGGGGTGGCCGCTCGGACATATGGAGTTAGGCGGTCGCGTCCAGCAGGGGCGCGGGTGAACAAGCCTTTGTCGATCTTGGCAACGTTATTCTTGCCATTACGTGTAATGACACTGCACGGGGCGGCGAGATGGCGCGGGTCTTCGGTCGCTGCCTGGCCGCACTCCCGACAAAAATGCCGGCAAAACTGCTGCATGAAGCGGAGTTTGTGGATGTCATGCAGCGGGCGGCCACAGACGATGGCCGCCCAATGTGCTGGGACGACCTGCTCGCTGGCGACAGGCAGCGGGGCGGCTGGCAGGCATGGGGCATGGGGTGGCGCAGGCTTGGCGTGCGGCTCGCTTGTCAGCAGTGAGCCCGCAGGTTGAGCATCTATGTTTGCTCGCGTAGAGCTCAAAGGCGCGGCTGCTGGACTGAAGGGCGCGCTGTAACCGGGTGAGCCGCGGGCCTCCGGCCTGCGAAGGTCGCTCCGCGACCTAGGGATCCACCGTAATGGCGTCGGCGAGCGCGCGGCGCACGCGGCGGCGGACGAGGGCGCGCCGGGCGTCGTGCAGGTCTGCCGGCGGGGCTGCGCCTAGGAGGGCTGCCTCCCAAGCGCGCTGGGCGGCAACTCCAGCCCAGGCGCCAGTGCATGCATTGCCTAGCGCGGGGGCAAAACGGACAGGGTCGGTGGATACGTTCTGGGCGTCCTCACTGCGAGAGGGCACCCAGACCGCCGCGACGGAGCTAGGGCCGCGATTCCTTACGGCGTTGCCTATGCGCTGCCAGGTCTATGTGGGCACCGCGAGGGTGCAGGTGGCGGCTCGACCTCCAGCCGTCTAGGAGCGGTACGTTATGTTTAACATAGCGGACGTCGCCAATGCAATGCTCGAGCGCGAGTGCAAAAGGCTAGGAGCTCGGCGGGCGGGGCGGTTTGGAAGGGGCCATCGAGGCCCGACAGAACGCCGCCCCAGGGGACCCACTCCCCGAAGTGGCTCATCATGGCGATCACGGAGGCCCCACCCTGTGGCGGCGGAGATCGGCACTAAACTGTCCTCCCGATCCGTCTCCATATAGGGGAAGGGGGGCCGTCCGAGTCTTCGCGCCCCTCTCGCCCCCGCCCATCCCAGCTCCGCCCGCCGCCCCCCCGCCAATATCAACGAATGCAGGGTGCGTGTCCGCGCGGGCGGCTAGGCCACGGGGCCAGCATGCAGGGGCAGCCTCTGCGCCAACGAGGGCAGAGGGGAGGGGCGCGTCAGATTTCTGGTAATCCTCGTAGTCGCGGTTGGCGGGGCAGAGCCAGATCCTGTGCATCAGGGTCTCCTATCGCGCACCGCATCTCGGGCATGCCGTCTCGGCCTGGATGCCCGCGTTGGAGAACTTCTCTCTCGGCCACTGCGCTCCCGCAGCCACGCGCGGATTGATGGGCCCACTGGTCGAACTGGCCCTTGCGCATGAACCTGCTCATCTCGTTGGTGACGGCGAATACGTCGGCTCCGCCTCGCTGGAGGCCCTCGTCGTCGAGGTGCTTCGCGGCGTCGTTCCAATAGCCGGTCTCCATGGTCTGGCAGGATTCCAGGGCCAGCTGCGATGGGTCGATCTCTTCGCGGCGCTGCCCCCAGTCGCCGCAGTCCTTGCAAGGTAGGAGCCACGTCTGCTCAGCCTGCTCACCTTCGCGAGTCTGGCGGGACCACTCGCAAGGAGCCGGGCGTCCCCACCCTGCGTCCACGAGGATGGCCTGGACGACAGAGAAGGGCCAACAACCTTGCGCCAGCGCTTGTTGCCATAGCCGATGGTCTTCGCAAAGATGAGCCGCCAAGCGTGGGTGATGCGAGCGTGGTGGTTCGGGTTGGCGAACCAGAAGGAGAGCCACTCCAGGATGGTCTGCCTGCGGAGCTCGATGTCAGGGTCTTCGTCGCCGAGGGGCACGGCGAGCGTGGCGGTGAGGCACCTGCCGGGAGCCTTGCCCGCGATCGCCTGGGCGGCTTGGCGCCGCTGCTGGGTGATGGCGCTCGGGAAGAGGCCCATGACCTGGCGGCCGTGAGCCCCCTGCGGTCTGGACCCCGTGGTCCAGAGGCCCTTGGCGATCTTGGCAAGCGAGGCGTGCCTGCGGATTTTGGCGATGATGCGGCCTGTCCTCCGCTTCGCCCTCAACGCCCTCTTGGCGGCCTTCGCTGCCGCCCCCCTGCGCGCCCCGGCGGCGTCGGCGCCTAAGTCGACGGAGGCGTTGGCGACCTTGATTGGGCATCCCTCGCGCTTGAGGGTGACGTGGACGTCGAGGGCGACCGCTGGGCTGGAGGCGATAATTATGGTCTCCGGCGACACCTTGAGCTCCGCCTCCGTCATGTCGTTGCAGAGGATGGCGCCCGCGGCGGCTAGGTCCTTGCTGCTTGGGCTCCCCATTCGGTCCCGGCGACTGGGTCGTCGACGAAGGTCCAGAATCCAGCGTAAGTGTTGTTCTGGCGGGCCCTCGCAAGGATGGGGCCGAGGTAGACCTTCGCGAGCTTCCCGCCACGGGCGCTGCCTGCGACGATGGAGCGCTGCGGGTCGATCATGTCGCTAACCCAGCCGCGCATGCGCAGGCACCTGGGCGCGCTGAACAGCTGCACCTCCAAGGCCACCACGGCAGGAGGGGAGCTGACCTGGATGGCCGCGTCGAGCAGCTGCGCGAAGTCAACCGAACCGTGGAACTTTTCGACGTCCATGAGGAGGGTGGCGCACGAGACGCCGAGGGCCGCCGCTGTCTCGTCGAGGAGCGCTCTCGCGAGGGCTGCCCGTAGTGCGACGGGGCCCTTAATCGCCGTGTCCCAGAGCTCGCCGAGCTGACTGGGCCACTGGTCGGCGATGGTTGCGCGGAGCTTGCTCCAGGTCTCGGCGACGGCGGGGGGCGCGCCGAGGATGCGCCCCCCCGCCGCTGGCTTGGAGGCCATAGCTCCCGCAGTGGCGCAGAGCTGCTGCGGCCACAGCCCGCTGGACTCCACGAAGTTGTAGATGGCAGCAAGCTGGCCGATGCCCTTGGGCGGTTGGCGCTGAACTTCCAGGGGCCAGGTGTTGTTGACCCCGCCCGCCTTCTTGGGGTCGGCGACGCCGACCGCGGCGTGGATGCGCTGCGGATCGATGGCCGGGGGGGGCCCTTCCGATCCGAGCGAGACGCATGGCCCATGGCCTCGAGGTGGGCCTGGATGATCTGCTTCTCATCGTAAGCACTGGTGGTCCAGATCTGCCGCCAGACGCCCGCAGCTGTGTTCGTGGCGGTGTATGGGGTCGCCCGCGGTGGCTCCGTTGAGCATGGTCTCGGGCTCCGGAGGGCTCGGGTCCACCACGGCGCGGTGGAGCTTGCCAGGAGGCCCCTTCCAGGCCCGCCTGGCCCAGTCGAGGTAGCGCTTGCGGGCTCGCCCCGCCGCCCCGGCAATCGCGCCGTTGGTCCAGCGCTCGGCGGTGGCGCAGGTGCGGCGGAGGCCCCCCTCGTCGCAGAAGTCCAGCGAGGCGACCTGCAGCTTCCACCCGCCCACCTCCATGAGGTCGACCTTGGGGCCGAAGTGGTCCTGGTGGAAATCGTTGCTGTCGAGCTGGTTGCGCTTCGCCTGGATGCTCTTCCTGATCTGCCCCTGCGCGCGGGCGTCCGCGTCGTCGGCGACGAGGGCGGTGTAGCGGATGAGGGGCGAGCTGAAGTGCTGCAACCATCCCGCCTCTTGATCCTCCAGGTAGGTGCGCCCTGGCGTCGCCTTCGTGATCTGGCGCGCGGTCTTGTAGCCCTGCGCCCTGCCCTGGTGCCCGGCCCTCTCCTCGGAGGGGGCGCCGTGCGTCTCCACGAAGGCGATCTCCATCGCAGCGGTCCAGCGCGCGTAGTCCGCGTTGACCTGCTCTGCTGCGCGGGGCGCGCGGGCGTGGAAGATGCGGCGTCTGCCCTCCTCGGCGCCCACGAGGTGGCCCTCGAACTCGGGGTAGGCGTCGACGATGTCGACGAGCCTTGGAACTGTTGCCGAGAGGGACGGAGCTCTGTTTCTGGTCGGGCTCGCGCGGGGAGGGCTTTGGAAACCTCGATGGCCCTGTAGCTCCACGGCCCGGCGGCCCCGATGGTGACCTGGATGCCGCAATGGGTCCCCCACGGCACGTCGAACACGGCCTGGACGGCGATGTGGGCGGCGACGTCGCTACAGACGATCGCGCAGTCGTAGACAGAGCCCCTGCCCTTGTCGCAGATGGCCGCGCAGGAAGGGTCGGCGACGACGGCGCCGCCCCAGCGGGTGATCCACGGCTCGACGGTCCACCTTGGCGGCTCGTAGTTCCAGTCGGCCAGGGTGACCCACGGGTCAGCGAGCATGCCCGCGAACGTGGAGATCGGCATGAGGATGTTCCCGTCGGCGCCCTTGTCGCGGAGGCTAGGCCGAAGGTAGGCAGCGACAATAACGATGTCGCCGCTCTGGCGTGCAAGATGGCAAGGGAGAGCCCCGCGAACGGCTGGCGCTTGTGGGTCTGGAGGCAGTGCCCCCTGTAGCCCTCGAAGGTAGTTGCCGCCGAGTGCCCACTCGCCTCCGTGGGCGCCCTTGTCCGATTTGCGCGCCTGGAGGGCCGGGGTAGCAGCGAGCTTCCAGCCGCCCATGGCGAGCTTCCCGCGCAGCTCGCTGAGGCCCTTGACACCCACGTGCGTCTCTGCGAGCGCGATGATGTGGCACTGGTAGCCGACGGCGCGGCAATAGTTCGCCGCCTGCGGGCCCCACTCCGTGATGTTGCCGAAGAGGATATGCGCCTTGTTGCTGGACTCCTCTGCGCCGACCTTGGCGCCCGTCGCTGGCATATCGGGGCTGGCCGCGCTGCAAGCTCCCAGGTGCGTGTGCGCCTGCGGCCTTGCCCTTGCCCTTGGCCGCCACGGTGGCCATCTGCTTGGCCTTCGCGACAGAGTCCGCGACGAGGGCAGCGGCGGCTTCTGCATCGGCGGCGGAGGGCTCCGCGGCCGCGGGTTCGGCGGCTGGTTATCCAGGTAGGCTGGGCCCAGAGCTGGCGCCTTCGTTGAGGGCCCTGGTGCGGTCATTCCGGTCCTTCCTCCACCGTTCCATCTGCAGCCTGGTGGCGTCGTCGTACTTTCCGAGGTCGTCCCATATCGAGGTGTCGATGCGGAAGAGGTTGGTGGCTGGCTGAGGTTCGCGAGGTGCTGCAGTTCCTCCCAGTATGCGGCGTTGTTCCTGCTGCGCTTGCTCGCAAGCGCGCTTGGCCTTGACCAGCTCGGGAGCAACTTGCTCCTGGTTCTCCTTGGCGGTGTCGAGCCACCGGTGCGCCTCCGCGGCGTCGTCCACGGTCTGCTGGGACTTCCGCTCGCGGTCCGTGAGGACGAAGAAGGCCGACTGGAGCGCCTTCTCTGCGGTGCGAACCGGTGGTGGCTGCCCTGGTTCTTGTAATGCTTGCTTGAGTTGGCCAACCAGTCCCTGATGCCTCTCGTCATCTGCGAGGAGCGAAGTGAGGGCGTCGAGGATGCTGTCCTTCGATTGGGGCTGGGTCCGGGTGAGACAAGGTTCGGCCGCCCACGCTTTCCAGGCTGCCGATGCTCAGCTGGCGATGGAGCGAAGGGCTTGCCACAGGAGAAGCAACCGCCTTTGCCCTTACAAGTCCATCGGTGGCGGCACTGCTTGCATGTCGCATACTCGAATGCATAACCAGCACGCTGACCTCGAAGCTGCGGAGACCGAGGGCCTGGCGAGCGGTGGTGAACGAGCGGTTTGGGATCCATCTTTCCAGACCGACACCGAGGCACCAAGCAGGAAGACAGGGCGGCAGCTCGCCCTTGTGGGAAGCTGCGAATATAGAAGTGGGTAGAAGTGGGCGGCAGCTTGCCCCTGGTGGTAGTTGCAAGCACGAAGAGCACTGGGAACTGAGGGGGCCTACCCCGCGGAGGCAGTGATCGAAACACCATATTGGCCTTGAACCAACATGGCTACGGAGGGGAAGAGGAGGAGGAGGAGGAGGAGGAGGAGGAGGAGGAGGAGAAGGAGAGGAGGAGGAGGAGAAGAGGAGGAGGAGGAGGAGGAGGAGGAGGAGGAGGGAGGAGGAAGAGGAGGAGGAGGAAAGGGAGGAGAGAGGAGGGAGGAGGGAGGAGGAGGAGGAGGAGGAGGAGGAGGAGGAGGAGGAGGAGGAGGAGAGGAAAAACATGTAGGGGGAGGAGGGGGCGGAGACGGGGGAGGAGGAGGGGGAGGAGGAGGAGGAGGAGGAGGAGGAGGAGGAGGAGGAGGAGGAGGAGGAGGAGGGGGAGGAGGAGGAGGAGGAGGAGGAGAAATGAGACAAACTCACCAAGTGCCCAAAAACAGTCAAACCATGCTGAAAATCGTCCCCGACGATTCTGTTTTGGACTGTGCTCGACTTTCTCTCCTGTGGAGGGACACGCCCGACGCAAGCCCGGCGGGAACCAGCGGCTCCAGCTGGCCCTCGCGGCAGCGCGGCCGGGCGGCTCGGCGGCCCCGCGGCCCCTCGCCCCTGCCGCCAGGAGAGGCCCGCCGCGCGGTCGAAGCGAGGCCGCAGGCGCAGGTCGGGCACATCCCCTTACGGGCGGATTTTAGACGAACAGTACTGAAAGGGGCCCTGGGACACACAAATAAATACACACAAGTAACAAAATATCCCCCATAGCTTCCCATAGTTTCGGGGTGTTCGCCTTCCCCCCCACTTCCCATAGTTTCCCATGACTTCTTGGAAATCCAAGATTACTTGTGTCTGTGTGTTTTCCTCTCCTGACAGATCCCCCAACAGGCGGGTTTGGACGAGAAATGAGAAATTCTTACAACAACGCTCCAAAATTGTCAAAAATAGTCAGGAAGTCCTCCCCATACCAGTTTTCGACTCTCTTTGAACCTCCCTCCTGTGGAGGGACGTGCCCGCGTCCAGAACACACGAGAGCCGCTTCACCGAGTGCCCGGCGCCACACCGCTGCTGAGGCGAGGAGCACTCCGAGGAGGAAAGGGCACCCATACCTCTAACCCTTCCCCCGTTTTCTCCTTCTTGGGGCCTCCTTGGCGGCACTCGTCGCCACCGCTGGGTTCGCCTCGAGATCCTGGTCAGAGCGCACCCCGGGAGGGGTCCGAGGAGCAGCGGTGTCGGCACCTCTCGATTTCCCCGAGCACGCCGAGGAGGAGAGCCCGAGCGCCGAGAGCAGGAGGGCCGCCCCTCCAGAGCTGCAGGCCGGCCCGTGTGACATGAGGAGGCGCGGTGAGGATGCAGGTGACGGGCCCTCGGGCGCCCAGCTCGGAGCTGCTCGGGCGGGGCGCGGCCAGCACACGCGGCCGAGGACGGACCGAGGAGGCGAGAATGCAAAAGGCATCCTCGGGAAGATCGCCCGTCCTTCTGCGGCATGACGGTAGGGTTGCCCCGGACCCTCGCGCCAGCTGCGGCGGCGGCACCGCCTGGGCGGAAGCGGCCCCCGTCGTGCGCGCAGCACAACACAAATCCCAGCCTGGCCGGCAGCAGGAGCGGCGGCGTCCGCGCGGTGCTCCCCGAGGGCACCCGGAGGCGGCCCGGGCGCGGCGGGCTGCGGCGGCTCTGGCGTGGCGGCGGGCGCGGCGGGCGGAGAGCGCGCGCCCTCCCCAGACCCCCGACGTCATGATTTTTTCATGACGCGACCCCCAGAGGTCCAGACCCCTTCCCCGGGACCGGTTTTTCATCCCGAGTCGTTTCTTGACGGTCCCGAGGCCCGGGAAGGGCCCTCAGAGGCCGAAAATGGCGAAAAACCTCCCGTCGTGTTTTTTTCACGACTCGAGGGGGTCTGGGTCCGCCGCCTCAGCCAGGTGGGGCCCTCCACCGCGCAGCACCCGCGCGGCCTGCCGGGCTCGTCCAGCAGCCCGCCAGCGAGGCTCTCGGCCTCTCGCTGCCACCACTTCGGGCGACGGCCCCTCTGGACGAGGCGCGCTCCACCACTCGCAGAAGTGGCTGCTCGCAGATGGCCAGGATCCGCCGCAGGGGATTTACGAGATCTGACACCAGGGCAGACGTATGGCTTTTCGGACGTCTGCGAGTAGGCACTCTGCGAACAGCGGAGCGCGCTCGGTGACTCTCGGGAGCGTCTCGGAGGCTGCCGGGGTGTGCCGGGATGGGGATGCAGACGGCCGCGCGCGAAGGGCACTCCCTGCCCACAAAGGCTTGGCCTTTTCCGCCCGCGTCTCGGGCCCCTGTGCTCCGAAAGGCGCTGCCCGAGATCTCCGCCATGGAGTTCCGCCTGCGCGGCGCGCACGTCGCGGCGTACCCGCCCTGGCGCCCAGCGCACGTTCGCGCCCTGGCCCTCCATGGCGAGCGACGCTCAGACCTCCTCCACCTACCGTTTCAGATGCTGTGATGCTGTGGGAAGGCGATGGACGACGTGCAGTCGAAGATGACGCCATGCGCCAGTGCGCCCGCCACACAGGTCGATGGCATCGCCCCATGCCCGAATGACCGTTCCGCCATAGCGCCGCCACTCGTTGTCCCCGTCGTCCTCGAGGAGGCAACCTGCGTGCACGAAACCACCGCCCTGGCAACGACGGCCACGACCACGGCGACGGCCACGCCGGCGACAACGGCGGCGGCGACCATGGCGGCGGCGGCGACGGCGACGGCGACGACGGCGACGGCAACGGCCGTGGCGGCGACCAGGGCGCCCTGTCCGCAGCTGCGGCGACGGTGGCCGCGACGACGGCGACGGGCGACGGCCACCGCACCGGCGGCGGCACCGACGAGCCGTCGCATGACCGAGGCCGGCCCCCCCCGCGCGGGTCCTGAACGCGAGGCTCTCCAGGGCGGGCACCTGGCGAACACACGGGGGGAGGCGTGCGCGCGCGGGCGCGGGCCGCTGCGGCCGTCGCTGGCGGCTGCGTCGTCGTCGCCGCCCTGGCCGGCCGGTGCCGGGAGGCGCCCTGGCAAAACTGGGCGGCGAGCGAGGGGGGGTGGGGAGTGAGAAGGACAGGGGCCTTCTCCGAAGGCGGCGGCACACCTCAGAAGCCCTCGCGCCTTCTGAGAAATATTCTGCGTCTCGGGGAAGGCTCTGAGCACTTCTCAGAAGGCCGGGGGGGGGGCACGTCCACTGTAGAGACCAGGGCAGTGACGGGGTTCCATGCGCCCTCGCAACTACTCTGCGGGGGGGGCATGACCAGCCTTTGCGCCCATCACGTCGCTCAACAGTGCGGTCCGACATCCACGATCGCAACGGCATCTACTTCTCGCCACCGTTGTCACCGAAGATACCACCGTCAGGAACGATCGCGCTCGCAATGTTCCTGGAGGGGGGTCCTGAAACTTATGTCGCGAAGGAAGAGGGGGTTCTGGTTCTTTACGGGGGTTTCGATTATTGAGGGATCCAAAGAGCTTTTGTATCCGGCGGCCTTTCGGGGCGATCTGGGAAACCCCAGTCGCCTCTCGGCGAGGCGCAGCTGCTGGAGAGCATCCTGGGGTGGGAAAACCTGTGGGAACCTATGAATGCGTCCAAAAGCACAATCCTTTCCCTTTACAAACGAAATATATGATCATGTATATGTATGGTTCAGGGCCTGGCCCCCCCCCCCCCCTTCAGGCTGATGCCATCGGCCACCCCCCCACCCCCCCGCGATGTCCCCCCCCCGCCCTGTCGGTGTGGTGTGTGTGTGTGGCGTTGTCCTGTGGTGCTCCAGGAGAGCTCCAGAGGTCGTCGTCGTAGCCGCCGCCGTTGTCGTCGTCGGAGGGCTCCAGAGATCGGCGCAGCCGCCGCCGCCGCTGTCGACGTCGTCGTCGCCGCCGTCGTCGTCGTCGTCGCCGCCGTCTTCGTCGTCGTCGCCGTCGTCGTCGCCGTCGTCGTCGTCGTCGCCGTCGTCGTCGTCGTCGTCGTCGTCTTCGTCGTCGTCGTCGCCGTCGTCGTCGTTGCCGTCGCCGTCGTCGTCGTCGTCGTCGTCGTCGCCATCATCGTCGTGGTCGTCGTCGGTTGTCGCCGTCGTCGTCGCCGTCGTCGTCGTCGTCGTCGTCGTCTTCGTCGCCACCATCGTCGTCGCCGTCGTCATCGTCGTTGTCGTCGTCGTCTTCGTTCCCCCCCATGCCATCAGGGGGTGGGCCCGAGGAACCTCGAGACCCATCCCATCTGGGGGGGGCGGGGGAACCCGTGGGCCCGGAGCCTGGGATCATATATGGTCCAAGGCTCGGGCCCCCCCGACCCTCCCCGATGTGATCGCCCCCCGATGGGTTTACCTTCCCCCTGTGGGTGTGGGGTGGTGCCACTGTGGAATGATCGTGGGGCTCTACTCTTCGAGAGGTCGCCTCCCTGAGGGTGTGGCGTGGTGTTGCAGTGCTTCAGCGAGGGGGAGGTCGTCGTCGTCGCCGTCAACTACAGCGGGCCTGCGCAACACCGCACCCCCCATCGGGCATCCTCCGCCGTGCGTCGCCGTCGCCGTCGCCGTCGTCGTCGCCGTCGCCGTCGCCGTCACCGTCGCCGTCGCCGTCGCCGTCGTCGTCGCCGTCGTCGTCGCCATCGCCGTCGCCGTCGTCGTCGTCGTCGTCGTCGTCGTCGTCGTCGTCGTCGTCGTCGTCGTCGTCGTCGTCGTCTTCTCACTCCCTCGTCCTATCTGGGGGCACACATAGACATAGATATATACATGTATATACAGATGTGTGGAAATTAACATATATACCTATTTACACTTGTATATATACGGATTTTTAATATTTACATGTATCGATCTATCCCTCTTCTGTATATATATATACATATATGTGTGTATGCGTGTGTCGCCCCTTTCCCTCACGCACAGCGGGAAGCGGCGACCGTACGCTGCCGCCGGCAGGAAAGGGCACCCGCGCGCGACCTTTCGCGGTTGGCGCACGCGCCAGCGGGAGCGCGTCGTCGGCGGCGTCGTTTGTGTGGTTGCGTCGCTCGACACACTGGGGGAGTGAGCTACACACATGTGTATATATATGTATGTCTATATATGTATATATAGAGATATTCATTTACACATTGATATTTACATGTATGGACATGAATATATATATATATATATATATATATACATATATATGTGTATGTATATATACGTAAACAAGGAGAGAGAGACATATATATATATATAGCGAGAGAGAGAGAGAGAGAGAAAAAAAAAAAGTGATAGCATGGCAAATCACCTCATCGATGTCTAGATTTACGCGTACATGAACGAAAAAGATATCGAGATCGAGGGACAGATAGAGAGACAGAGAGAGAGGGAGGACAACAAATAGCAAGCACATCAAAACACGTAGACAGCGAGCCCGCAGCGCCGCCTCGCCCACGTGCGCCATGGCTAGTCTGGCCACTCGCTTCAACTGGCGGGCGCGGAGAGGGGGGTGGAACGAGAGCAGCCCCGTCCCCTCCTTGGCCTCCCATCGATCCCCCCCATCCGCTCTGTTTCTCCTCCCTCCTCCCCCCCTCCGGTTTTGACCTACCTCCTCCCCCACCTCCACGAAGGGAAAGTCAACAGAAAACCCCTCCCCCTTCTCGTCCCCGCCTCTTCCCCAGAGCCCCTCGTGACCGCCCCCGCGCAGTGCCAATGCACGGCCTCGGAGGCCCCGACCCCTTCCCCTCGCGTAGCTCGTCGCCCCGGATCCGTGTTCGACTGTCCTGCGGCGGGACTCCGGAGGCCCAGATCAGGGAACAACGCCGGCACTGATCGAGAACACCTCGCCGCCCAGTGCTTGATGACTCTTGGGTTTACGCTGGTCCTCCTCCTCCTCCTCCTTCTCCTCTCCCTCCTCCTCCTCCTCCTCCTCCTCCTCTTTCTCCTCTTCCTCCTGCTCTTCATCCTCCTCTTCATCCTCCTCCTCCTCCTCCTCCTCTTCATCCTCTTCGTCCTCATCGTCCTCTTCCTGGTCATGGGAGGCAGCTCCTGGGCGGCCTTCGCAAGAAATCGAAAAAGGTGAAAAGGACCAGTGCGGCCACCCCCGCGAGCCGCGAGCAGAGCTCTCCGTCTCCGTCGCCCCGGCGGCATGGACTCCGGGGGCGCGGCTCCGCCGAGGCGCGGGCGCACGGGCACGCACATCTGGCCTGCCTCCAGGGGGCGGATTTCAGTCAAGTTCCCAATGCGCCTCGGGGGGCCAGGGGAAGGGAGCCCGAAACTCCAAGATTCGGCTGTGGACAAACCTCCCTCCCTTCAGTACACCTCCCCTTGGTGAGAAGGACCTAGGGCCGCAATCGACGGACCTGGACCCGCAGAACCGACGGCCGCCACGCCCTCTCTCGAACCGAAAACGGCCAATTCCCTGATCGACGCGTCAGGGCAGGAGGCCTGCCCACCTCCGAAAAGCTGCAGTGCAGCTGGCTCTGCCTCTCTCCCGCGCCAGCGCCCGAGCCTGCGCGCCCCGCCCCCGAGCCCGAGCCCGAGCCCCGAGCCCGCCGAGCCCGCCGAGCCCAAGCCCCGGCACCGAGCGCCAGCCCAACGCGCGAGGGGCTTCCGGGTCGGGCGAAAGGGGGGGATAGCAACGGGGGGGGGGGGGGAGAATCAGCTCGGGCTGATTTTCCCGGCGCCTCCCAGCGCCGAGAGGCGGCCCGAAACCAGCTGCACGCAGCAGATTTCGTAACCCCCCCTTTCCCAATCCCCCCCTTTCTCGGGAGCGGAAACGAGGGGGGTGTTCAAGAGGGGGGGGCGCAAATCATGACCGGCGGCATGTGCGCGGCCCAGCGGGGGGACCAGGGACGTAATGAAACAAGAAGAGGCGCCACGAGATCTGGGGAGATATCATGGCCCGCGCCATGATATCCCCCCCCCCCTAGTCATCACCCCCCTCTTTTCCGCCCCGACTTTCGTCCGGCCCGAAGCCTGCAGGCCCGAGCCCGGGCCGCAGCCGAGCCCAGAGAGCCGAGCAGCGCCCTCGGTGGGAGGCACGCGAGGGGCTATCGCTGGTGCCGCGCGCGGCTGCGGGAGAGGCGCACGCCCGACCCGAGAGAGGAGGAGAGGAGGAGGAGGAGGAGGAGGAGGAGGAGGAGGAGGAGGAGGAAGAGGAGGAGGAGGAGGAGGAGGAGGAGGAGGAGGAGGAGGAGGAGGAGGAGGGGGAGGAGGAGGAGGAGGAGGAGGAGGAGGAGGAGGAGGAGGAGGAGGAGGAGGAGGAGCGGCGCACTCCGCACCGGCGTCACGGCCATGCAGGGGCACCGACGGGCGCAGCGGCCGGCGTGCAAGGAGGGGGGGGGGGCGTGGGGCCGACGAGAGGCAGGAGAGGGGCGCTCCGTCGCCCGACCCGAGCACGCGGGGCAGGGCATCTCGCGGTAGACTGCTCCCCCGGGGGGGCCCAAACATATGCACCACCACCATCACCACATATCACCACCTCCTCCTCCTCCTCCGCCTTCTCCTCCTCCTCCTCCTCCTCCTCCTCCTCCTCCTCCTCCTCCTCCTCCTCTCGGGAAGGAGGGAAGGAAGAGGAGAGCGCAGAAAAGAGAGAGGAGGAATCGACGTGGTGGTGGTGGTGTATATATTCTTGGGGCCCCCACTCCCGAGCAGCATGGCCGGGACACGCCCGCCACGGAGCTTCTGCTGTACGAGTTCCGAGCGCGCGCGCCGCCCTGGCGTGGCCGACGCGCACAGATAATTTATGTTTGGGCGGTGCCGGCCTCACGTGGCATCTTTGGAAGACCGCGTCTGTCCCGTCGCGCTCGCAGCCGTGTCGCATCCGTGTCGACTTCACGTCGAGCCCACGTCGGAGCCCAAGAGATGACTGGCACGTACAGGGCATGAGTGGCCCCCCGAAGATGCAAAGGCAAGCAGCCACAGCCGAGATACCGATACCGCGATTCACTCCCCGGACCTCTCCCGGGATGCGTTCTGACCGAACGACGAAAACGAACGAAGAGTGGCGGTGCCGCTACTATTTCCTAGTCAAGAATATCCCAACATAACCAAACAAGAATAGACACATCGCCCCCAGACTATGTTTTCACTATCTTTGAATCTTCCTCCTGTATGGGGACACGCCCGACCCCATTGTAAAGGGGGGATGATAAACGTGCACCTTCCGTGCTCCTGTGGGCCCCATAGGGGGCTTCTTTAGGGCACAAGAGGTGCACCTGTCTGACCCTTCCCAGAGGAATCGCACCCCCATTAACTCGACCTTTGACGCCCGAAGCGGGCACGGAGACCGTGGGCACGATGCCCAACGACAAGCGTTGCTCACAGCCGACTGCGGCCGCTGCTGGGCAGGCGGACGTCCGTCGCACGTGGGCAACGGCCGCGGCGACGCCGACCACGAATCTGGCCGAAACTGAACAGAAGCTGCTGTCGGTCTTCGTGCCCATTCTTTCCGTACCCAGTTCGATCGTGCCAAGCAGACATAACGTTAGGCATCAACTTTTGGCGGTCCGCGCGGGATTTTTGGGATCTGCGCTGGGCCACCCTCCCTGGCGCCAGGGGCGGCGCCGGAGGCGCCGCCAGAGGGCCCAGCGACGATCCAAGCAGTCTGCGCGAACTGTCGAGCATTGATGTTTATGCAATTTGTTCTGTGTTGACCGTCCCGATCGACGCCCGATAATTGAGCAGGGACCGACCGCGTCTAGGAATTCTTGTAGGCCTACAACGGCATGTTCTTAGAACCCCAACAATGTAAGAACAATGATAATAGCAACAAGGGTTGTTTAGAACATGGAGCCGATGTGCTAAAACAAGACGGTCCCAACCAGATTTGTTCTAAGAACACCTCGTGCACACCACAACAAATTCTCAGAACGCTCTTTGGTGGGTCGGGCAGGCCAAGACGCTTCGCCACTGCTTCATATAAGGCCGAGCCCCAGCTCCGGCCGGGCCCGAGCCGGGACCGTCGCCGAGGGGGCGCCCCCCACTCGAGTAGGGGATCGACTACAGAATTGATTTACCCCGAAATTAATTCTCTCGTCGGATCTACGGAAAAATACCCAGAGTCTTCAGTACACATGCAAGAGCATTCTATGTACTCGTCGTAGCTTCGATCGGGGGTTATGAATTTGGGGGTAAATCAATTCCTAGTCGACCCTCGGCTCGACCCACCCCCGCTGGGCGCCGCTGGGGGGGTGCTGGGGCGCACGCGCGAAGGGGGTTGCCGGCCCGCTCGTCGCTGGCAACCCCCGCACGACCCTGGGCCCGGAGGTGGTCGGGCAGCGTCGGCGGCGAACGGCAGGGCCTCCACGAGTCGCGCGGGGGGCACGGCTCGTGAGTTTGGAACAATTCGAGCCCAGACACGATCGCGTCGTGCAAAAAATCAGGGCGGCAAGTTCTGCACGATCTTGGGCCCCTGGGGGCCCTCGCCAGGCCCCAGGACTGTCGAAAAACGGCTCGGCAGGAGAGACCGGTCCTGGGGAGGGGGTCCGGACTTCCGGGGACGCCGCATGGAGAAGATCAGGATGGAGAAAACAGGCTCTCAGGACGTCGCACGTCTGGGGAGAAACCGTTTCGGGCCCCTGATCAGGTGCGATCCGTGCGAGGGGTGTGCGAAAAATGGCCCCTGGACGCCGGCCTGAGGCACGGGCTCAGCGTCACCCCGGCATACTTCTACTATAGGTGCGTCGCCCCCCTGGGGGCGATGCGCGCACCGAGAAATCTTATACTATATGCGTCGTGGCGGGCGCTTTCTGGCCACACCGCTCGGGAAACGATGCCCTACAAGATGGGTATGCTATATGTTCGGGTCGGACGCGCGCCTCCAAGGACGACATATAATATTAGTATGTCCCTGTGCGCCCCACGGGCGTCCGCCGCCGGCTGAGGGCTCAAACCGAACCGTGCCCCGTGCGACGCCGCAACCGCCGTCGCCGTAGCACCGGCCGACGCCGGCGGGCCGCGGGGGTGGGGAGGAGGAGGAGGAGGAGGAGGAGGAGGAGGAGGAGGAGGAGGAGGAGGAGGAGGAGGAAGCGGAGGAGGCGGAGGAGGAGGGAGAGGAGGGGAGGCGGAGGAGGAGGAGGAGGAGGAGGAGGAGGAGGAGGAGGAGGAGGAGGAGGAGGAGGAGGAGGAGGAGGAGGAGGAGGAGGAGGAGGAGGAGGAGGAGGACGTCTCGACCGGCCGGGCCACGGGCCGCAAGCGTCATGGGCGCGCGGCGGGGGGCGCCGACCATGGGCTCCCGAGCGACCTCCCGGAGGGCGGCGGGCAGGCGCTCGAGGATGCGGACGGCCTCCCCCTTCGAGGTGTCGCCCGTCCTTTCGGGGGCGAGCTTGGCTCCAGTCACAGCTGCGGGATTCACAACTGCATGTGGTTGGCATGTGAGCGTTCGCGCGTGAGCGTTTCCATGTGGGCGTCACGCCCGTTCCGCCGCACCCCTCACACGCCTCGTGGCCCCGTGGAGGGCTCCACCGCAGGCCCCAGAGGCAGCAACGCCCCCCCCCCCCACACCATTTCGGCATGCACCTCGCGCGTGTCGTGGCCCCATGGGGAAATACAGCCGAAGACCACACTCACATCTGCGGCACTCTCAACTGAATATGGTTGGTTCCTACGCCGGGGTACATGTTTGCAACGTCCGATCACAGGGGACAGGGCGGGGGGGGGGGAGCTCGGCGCGTCGACGATAGCCTTTGAGTGCGGTGGGCTCCTGTCTGGATCCACGGTGATTCTCCGATGGTTCTGCGCGTCGTGGCCTCATGGGGCGCTCCCCCGAAGGGCCCAGAGAGGGAGCGTTCCCATGTGGGCGCCACTCTCGTTTCAGGACACCCCTCACACGCTTCGTGGCCCCATACCAGAGGGAACGTTCCCATGAGGTCGCCACTCCCGTTGCGGCACACCCCTCTCACGCTGCGTGGCCCCACAAGGAGCTCCGCCGAAGGGCCTAGAGGAAGCGTTCGCAAGCGGGCGTCGCGCCAGTTTCGGCGCACGCCTCACACGTGTCGTGGCCCCATGGGGAACTCCACCGAAGGCCCCAGACCCAGACCCCCGACGTCATGAATTTTTCATGACGTCGACCCTCCGCGGTCTGGACCCATCCCCCGGGACCGGTTCTTCGTCCTGAGTCGTTTTTTGACGGTCCCGAGGGCCGGTAAGGGCCCCCAGAGGCCAAAAATTATGAAAAACCTCCCGTCGTGATTTTTGTCATAACTCGAGGGGGTCTGGGGAGGGAGCGAAGCCCCTCCCCCCCCATTTCGGCATGCACCTCGCGCGCTTCGTGGCCCTACAGGGAGCTCCGCCGAAGGCCCCCAATTGGCATGGCCAGCATGCGGCCCCACCTCGCACCCCCTTTCGGCATGCCCCTCGTGCGTGTCGTGGCCACGTGGGAAAATCCACCGAAGACCGTACTCACAACTGCAGTGCTCACAGCTGGAAATGCTTGGATCGATCGCCCAGGTGAGACTCCACGTGTTTGGCGCCTCTCGAAGCCACCGAAGCCTCAGGGGATCTTCAGGGGAACTCAGGGACGGGGGGGGGGAGCAAGGGAGGAGGGAGACACGAGGGAGGAACGGAATACGGGAGGGAGGAGAAACGAGGGAGGAGGGAGGAGGGGGGGAGGGAGGGAGGAAGGGAATGGGGGGGGGCGGAGGAGAATGGTTTCGCTGGTGTGGGAATTCCACGACCCCTCCGCCTCACTCCCATCCACTCTCCCCATTCCTCGCCTCCGTTGCTTTAGTCTTCCTCTTCCTGCATGAGCTTGCTGCGGGTGAGCACCAATACAACTACTGTCCGGATGAGGGGAGTCCCGTTTTCGTTCAACTTCCAAACGCGGAATGGCATGCCTTCTCTGCTGTTGTAAGTGGGGGCTGGGCGGGTACACACTTACAACCCACTGCGATTGCACCTGCATTTGACATCCTGGTTGTGGTTGTTCGTAGGGTGCACGTGTACGCATGCATGTGATACTTATGCGTGTATGGCAAAAACAATTGGCCAGTAAGGTGTCATTTCTCCAGATGCCAAGCGAAGTGCGTATTCATTTCGAGACAAGTTCGATCGTTGGCAAAATACCTTCAGAAAGGCAAAGCAACTCGCTCGACAGCGTTTGCAGCTCGTCATCTCGACTCGCATCGCGACTGGTCCCCCTCACTCTTCCTCGGCCTTTGCCATCATCAGTATCCTCCTCACATGGGTTTTCGAATATTCTAAGCAACGCAATGCGTTCTAGAGGGTGTGGGCGACATCCCCCGTGGAGGGCGTGCTGGCGGGGGTCATCCGAGGGGGGATGATCGACCAATCATATGATGTTGCTACGACGCGCGGTTCCTCCTGAAGTCTCCTCGTGACCACAGGGGGGATCCACCTCGAGTCCTAGTCTTAAGTCGGGCCTGTCCCCCTACAGGGGGATTTTGGGCGAAACATTAAACATTGTTGAAACAAAAACTCCCCAAATCTTTAAGAATAGTCAAATCATCTTCTCCAGACTAATTGTTTTCACAACTTTTGAACATTCCACCTGTAGAGGGACACGCCCCACTGAATTCTAGTCGAAGCGCAAATCGTGACAGGCTCTGGGGGGTCGAGTTGGAGGTCTGGCGGCAAAGAGCTCCAGAGAACACGAGCTGAGAGGGGGGGACGGCGCAAGCGGGCGGGAGCGGGCACGACGGAGCGTACAACTAGATTAATGCGAGAGGAGAAATGTGAAAGATATGCAAATCATGCAGGAGAGAGAGAGAGAGAGAGAAAGAGTGATACAGTTAGAGAGATAGATGGCCCGGTACATAGGCATGTGCATGCACGTCTTTGAAGGGAGGAGGAGGAGGAGGAGGAGGAGGAGGAGGAGGAGGAGGGAGATGGATAGAGATATGTGTCGGTATGGTTAAGCAGAGAGAGAGAGAGAGAGGGATAGAGAGAGAGAGAGAGAAACAGAGCGAGAGAGAGGGAGAGCGAAAGAGCGAGAGAGAGAGAGAGCGAGACAAAAAGAGAGAGAGAGAGAGAGAGACAGCAAAGCCACGCGATGGACCCAACCCTGTGCAACGCGTGTCCCGTCCTTCGTGTGTTCCGCGCCACTAGACAGCGTGGGCAGGGTGCGTGCGCAGAGGCATGCTAAGTCCCCGTGGGGCGCGTGGCGTCTGAGAGGTGCGCCGGCTTGGGCGGGGGGACGCCATGAGGGCCTCGCCACGGAGGCTTTCGGTGAGGCTCCCCAGATGAGGCCACGAGGCGTGTGATACAGGAAAGAGAACTATGCACATACACCGATTCTGACCAGGCCCATCCTGAGCCCAGGATCGGTGCACACGCCCTCCGACCTTGGCTAGGAAGGCATATGCACCGATCCTGGGCCAAGGATGGGCCTTGCCAGGATCGGCGCATGTGCATAGTTCCCTTCGCCCGATGTGAGGGGTGTGCCGACCCGGGCGGGGCCGGCACGTGGCCCTGCCCGCCAGGGCTGCCGGTGAGGCATCCCGTGGGGCCACGGAGCGCGTCAAGGGTGTGCGGACACGAGCGAGGGGGGGGGGGGCGCCACGTGGCCCTACCCTGCCCAGGGGGGGGGGGCCTCGGCTGAAGCTCGCCGAGGGGCCACGCAGCGTGCGAGGGGTGTGTCGACGAGAGCAGCGGCAGGGGCAGGAGGAGGAGGAGGAGGAGGAGGAGGAGGAGGAGGAGAAGGCAGCGGGAGGGAAGGTGGAGCGAGGTGATGCTGGTTCAAGACGAGGGCCCAACACTACAGGACTCTTGGGAGCAAGAGAATTTGCCTGGCGAAGGGCCCAACACAAAGCAGCTGCGAATGGCGCAGGATACGACCCCTTAACCATAGTTTCATGTGGGGTCGCGAAGTGCGTGAGGGGTATGACGAAACTTGCAGGAGGAGGACCGCGTGCGACACCCTGTCAGCGAGGCCTTCGGAGGAGATTTCTGCAGGGCAACGAAACGCGTGGTGTGTGTGTGTGTGTGTGTGGGTGTGTGGGTGTGTGTGCGTGTGTGCGTGTGCCGAAATGGACGGAGGGCCGCAAATGATACCATGCGGCTGAAGACTTCGGTGGAACCACCTTGCGGGGTCATGAAACGTTTGGGGCATGTGCCAGCATGGACAGGGGGGGGGGGGGGGCGCATGCGGACGCTCCCACTGAAGCCTTCGTCAGAGCTCCCTATGATGCCACGAAGCGTGCGAGGGGTGTGCCGCAACGGGCGGGGGGGCGCATGTGGACGCACGCCCACCCAACAGTCGGTGCTCCCCGTGGGGCCACGGGGAAGACGCGAAGGGTGGGCCGAACCCGGCGGGGGCCTCCGGGGTGGAGCTCCCTTGCGGGGCCACGGAGGGCGCGGGGGTGCACCAGGATGGGCGGGGCTCCATGCGGTCACCACCCCTGGGGCCTGGAGTGGAGCTCACCACGGAGCCACGACCGGTGTGAGCGGTGCGCTGCATGGGCGAGGGGCGGGCGCATGTGGCCCTGCTCACTGAGGCCGTATGTGGAGCTCGCGCATGGGGTCACGACGGGTGTGCCGAAACTGGCTGGGAGGCGGTATGTGGCCTTTACCCGCGGTGGTGGTCCATATGGGGCCACGAAACGTGAGAGGGGTGTGCCGACATGTTCTGGGGGACGCTGTGTCGCCTTGACCCCTCGGGGCTTCGGTGGAGCATCCTGCGGGGCCACGAAAAGTGCGAGGGGTGTGCCGAAACGGGCTGGCGGACGGCATGTGGACGCACGCCCCCTGGGGCCTTCGGTGGAACTCACTACGGGGTCGCGAAGCGCGCAAGGGGTGTGCCGAAATGAGCATGTGGATGGCAGGGGCAGGAGGAGGGGAGGAAGGAGTGGGACGTGGGGCGCTACATATTCGAAACGAGGGCGCAACACCACAGGATGTGGGAACTGGAGAACGCGTATGAGAGAGACAGAGAGAAAGAGACAGAGAGAGAGAGAGAGAGAAACAAAGAAAGCCACAGTTGAACAACCAGACATACAAACAGACAGACAGAGAGGTGGGACCTGGTAGGAAGGATGGAGAGAGCAGGAAGCGGAATAACGACTAAAAATGGGACATGCTTGCCATGACAATTTAATCATGTCAAGGACGCCCCTCGCAGCTCAAGCAGCATAACCAGAACGCTCCACGGCGCCCGATTGCTTGCGTTCAAGAGAACAGTCCTGACATGGCTGGTTTCGCTGAGGAGACCCAAATTGTGGTTCAAGTGGTTGCCCGCAAGATCCACACGTGGAACACTGGCCCCAGCGAGGTTGCCCCAAGGTGGTGATTCTCTTGCTGGTGGCCCATCGCGGATCTGCCCATCGCGGATCTGCCTCGATTGCCTCAGTGCGGTTGCTCCCCTGGTGGTCACGGGCTCCCGCTCAAGAGTCGCCGGCTGCAGCTGCCCTCACAAAGGCGCGGCCGTTGGCTGCCCATGGGTCCCCCGCCCGTGAGGGTCCCGCCTATGAGGGCCCCGCTTGAGCTTCCCCGCTGGTTGTCTGGAACTCTTTGGACCCACGTGGGCCCACGCGCTGGAATCAATCAACAGCATCGTGCATATATCCTTTGGACGAGAAGCCCGGGCTTTGGAAGCGGTGGAGCTCCATGGTGCATTTTCCATGGATATCACCGCCACCCTCATCAGATAAGGAATTCTCCAGGGTCTGGAGCCTCCTGGGCGCATTCCTTAAGCAACGCCCCCACCGTAGTACAGTGATACAACTAAGCGGCAGTGCATATCGACGGTGAGGAAGACGACAACTCTTACAGTGACCGTGGCTGCTACGAGCAGTGCCAGAATCTTAGAACCCTCCAAATAACGCATGCCACGCAGAAGCTCACACGTATCTTCGTTTGAATACCACTGCACTGGGCTGCCGCCGATTCCCTTTTGTTGGCCCCTGTCCCCGAATGGATTCAGCCGTAACAGTACCAATGGCACATCTTTTTTCCCACGACGCATCAACGCTGGTGGCTTCGACGGTCCATCAACAGCAAAACGACCCGGAGATGATGGTGACCACATGGCCATAGGATGAGCCTCAGTGTTGAAAACATATCTGCCCAGGTCTAGCGTATCGCGAGGCATCTGGATCAGATATAAATACTTTAAAGTCTCTGCGAAAAAGAAGGACTCTATATTATTTCGGGAACGGGGCTGGTCAGAATTCACGTTATCCACAGCAGTGTATCCATGAGCCACCTGAGCAAAGACACGGGTCTTACGCGAGATGACATGGCGACCTTGCGCGACGGCATACGCGGGCCGCCAGCACGACACGCCACAGTGGAAACAAGAGCGCTCACGCGCGACCTTTAGCGGGTCAGCTACGCGCCAACGTCGGGGCGTAAGACCCCGTGTTCTTGCGTCGCTCACCTTGGCTTTCGCGTTCATTGCCTCCAGGATCTCGTTTGCCCAGACCCGATACTTGGGATCGCCGGTGTAGTAGTGGACGTAGTACATGGCCTCTGCAGCCTCGGGCCGCAGGAGGCTGAACCCGTCGGCAGCCTTCGTGACCATCCTCCGGCTGCGCGCAGGAGTGGCCCCGAGGCAAGAGTGACCTCTGGTGCGCCGCCGCCCTAGGAGGCCGCGGTGAGGCCAAACCCGAGCGCGCAAGACGCTGCCTGTCGCATCGCGTTCAGCTGCGTATCTGCGGACCCCAGTGTTGGAGGCTTAGAAATGGGCACCAACACCAACACCGAGGGAGCCTCCACCAGGGGAAGGTGATCCTAGATTTTGGCGTTGGTGGAAACTACTTCGGCCACAGTGGAAGCCCGAACACTACCACCATCACCGAGATCGGGATCATCTTTCCTCGCTGGAGGCGCATCGCCGATATTGGTGTTGGTGTCACCTCCAGGCCTCTGGCAGTGCGCCCGCACCAGAGGTCACCCCAGCGAAGGGCCACTCTTGCGAGTGGCCGAGTCCTTCCCTGCGGGAAGACCACGATCTCGGGCGCCAAGCCCGACTTGGTGTCGTACATGGCGTGGCACGTCTCCGTTATCTCCTCGGCGCATGGCCCGGGGGGGGCCAAGGGGGGGCCAGCAACAGCCAATCAGAGCGTACGGCAGGCTCGGGTCGTGCCGACTTCGGCATTGGTTTCTGACACCGCGGGGATCGTTCAACCTTGAACGATCGGCCGTGTCCGAAACGTCGCATCGTCCTAACTCAGCAGATTCTGGATCGCCAGCGGCGGGCGACGCTGAACGCCGGCCGCATGGTCGCCGCCAGCCGGCACGACGCGAACAGACCGTACATATCCAGGGCCCCCCCCCACGAACACAAAAACACGGCCGAAGAGGCCAAGAGGCAGCCCGCGTTGATCGGCCCTTGACCTCAGGACGATCTGCTTCGCTGTCCCCAGTCGGGTGTTGCTAGAAGTGTCCCTGGCCCAAGGCGCCCCCGGCTTCTCGCTCAACCTTCGGGCATCTGGGGCCCCCTGGGCCTCGTGCGGGGTGCTCTGGAGGCCGTGAGGGCCTCCTGGGAAATCCTGGGGCACCTTGGGCCAGTGGCACTTCTAGCATTAGGTCGGGCATGTGGTATGTCCTCCTGCACTCGGATTTTGGACGAAACATTCTGAATAGCCAAGGAATGTTCAAACATACTGAGAAATGATTACAAAAAATCGTCCCCAGACTATGTTTGACCACTCCTGAATACTCCTCCTGTAGAGGGACACGCCCGACTTTAATCCCACCAGCCCTCTGGGCGTCGGTGGTTTAGAGCGTTTCCTCTTCCACCCCTCCTTCTTCCCCTTCGGGAACGGGTTTACCCCTCCCCCTACCCCCTCCCCACTGACCTGGACAGGGGGGGCCGCGGGTAGTTAGAGCGTCCAAGACGGCCCAACACGGCTCCAAGAGGGCCTTAGGGAGCTCAAGATGACCTCCAAGATGGCTCAAGATAGCGCAAGATGCCTCAAGATGGTCCCCATGGTGTTCCAAGACGCTCCAAGAACTCCCCAAGACGGTTCCAAGTGCCCACAAGAGCATCATTAGGATGCATCCAAGAGGCCAAAATGCTTCAAAACCCTAGGGAAAATCAATGTTTTTTGTGTTCTCACTTTTTCGCTTGCGATGCACATCCGACGCGTCAAGATGGCTCCAAGATGGCTCAAGATAGCTCCAAGAGGGGCCCAAGAGAGCCTCAGGATGGCTCCAAGAGCGGCCACGAGCGCTCCAAGAGCGATCCAAGAGGGGTCCAGGAAGCGATTTTTGGAGCTCCTGGGGGGGGCTGTAATTAGGGAACCCCACTTCCTTGGCCGATGTCCTCCACGATGGCCGCAAGAGGCCCTCAGGATGCCCCAAGAGGCCGCAGGATGGCCCCAAGATGGCCCCAAGAGGCCCCCCAAGAGGCCCCCAGGAGGCCCCCAAGAGACCCCCAAGAGGCCCCCCAGAGGCACCCAAGGGGCAAAGATGGCCCCAAGAAGCGCTCTGGAGGCCCCCAAAGGCCCCAAGATGGCCCCAAGAGGCCCCAAGAGGCCCCCCAGGAGGCCCCAGAGAGGATCCCGAACGGCCCACAGAGGCCCCCCCCGAGGCACCCAAGACGCCGAAAAGCCCCTCAGGACGACCCTCTACTCGCCTGGGCGTCGTTTCTGGACGGGCTGGTGGGGATACGCGAAGCGTCTAGAATTCTAGCAGCAGCCGACCCAGGGCCCCAGGAGGGCAGGGTCCTCGGCCGCCTCGCGGTAGTGCTGCCGCTCGTCGCCGCCCAGGGCGCCCTCGGGCGCGGCCTCGGCGGCGAGCACGAGCATGCCGGGCACGAAGCAGGCGAGGTGGTCAAACTCGGGCACGACGGTCGATGCCCGCATCTTTGCCACGTAGGTGTGGCCGTCCTCAGGGGACCGAAGACTGACATAAGCATAGAAACGCGGAGGTCCGCGCGGACTTCTCGGATCCGCGCTGGACCCCCCTGGCGGCGCCTCCGGCGCCGCCCCTGGCGCGCTCCGCGCGCCAGGGAGGGGGGTCCAGCACCGATCCGAGACATCCGCGCGGACCTCCGAGTTCTTAGTTTATGCCATCCTTCGTGCCCCCAGGCCTGGGACTTGAACGTCAGCTGCTTGAACATCTCGTCCTGCAAGGCGAGGGCGGGACAGACAATCGGAAGCGGCCAAGATGGGGGTGTCCAAGAGGGGGGGGGTGCAAACCATGACCGGCGGCATGTGCGCGGCCAAGGCGGGGGGGCCAGGGACGTGATGAGGCAAGAAGAGGCGCCATGAAATCTGGGGAGAGATGCTGGCCCACGACATGATATCCACCCCCCCCTAGTCATCACCCCCCTCCTCTCCGCCCCCGAGACAGGTGGCACAAGCAGCTGGGCGGGACAGCACGGAGCTGGCCTCGACGGACCGGCGGGCCCAGCGCCTGGAGGACGTGCTCTGGGCGCTCCATGGGGGCTCGTCGGAGCGCTGCGCATCGCTCTGTTGGCGGCCTGGAGATTGACACCAACACCAGCACAGGGGTTAGGAGGCAACTGCTGGGAGGTTTTCGTCGGAAAGATTAAGGAGGATCAAGCCCCATTTGGGGGCTATTACGCCGGAGTGGGCCTCGGAGTAAGCGGGATTAAACCGGATTAAGCGGGATTAAGCCAGATTAAGCGGGATTAAGCGGGATTAAGCCGGATTTCGGACCAGGGCAAGATCAGAATTTGACCTCCCAGGAGTTGCATCCGAACAGGGGGTTGCCTCCACATGGGAAAGATGATCCTAGATTTCGGTGATGGTGGTAGTATTGCAGTCGCCTTGGAAACCAGAAGATTACTACCATCACCGAGGTCGGGACCCTTTTCCCTCGGTGGAGGCACACCGCCGATTTTGGTGTTGGTGTCAACCTCTAGGCCTGCGACTCTGGAGCGCTCCCGGACAATCTGCCGTGAACCTAAACTGGAAACAACTGTCGACTCGCTTCTCGCTTCGATCTTCGGATGACGAGAAACTGACGATGCGATTCGACTCGAAATTTCGGTGTTCAGCGAAAACTCGACGCCGGCTGTACACTTTGGACGCCCGAAATGGGTACGGAAAACATGGGTACAATACCCAACAACAAATGTTGTCCCAAGCCAACAGCGGCCGCTGTTGGTCAGGCGGCCTGCTGTCTCAAATGGGCACAGGCCGCGGCTGCGCAGACCGCGAGTCCTGCTCAAAACGAACAGGGACTGCTGTTGGGCGTTGTGCCCATGCTTTCTGTACCGATTCCGTTCGTGCAGGTACACCCGCACCCATCCTATACGATAGGTTCGCGCGGCGTCGGCGCGCGCGAAGGTTTTTGTCACCGCTTCGATCGTTCAACCTTGAATCGATCGAGGCCCCAATCGTTCAAGGTTGAATTCAGTCGGGCCCAGAGGCGTCACCGTGTCCATCGGTGCCTCCGCGTCGCAGAATTCAACCTTGAGCGCCTTCGCCGGCGTCGCTGGCGCGCCAACGCCGCATGAACCTACCGTAGCCAGGCTCCTGGCCGGGCCCATGGTCGGCCCGTCGCAAGCGCGGGGTGCAGGTGCACATAGCCAACGCCCCTCGACTGGGCCCGCCCGTCGCCCTCCTTCCCCGGCCCGCCTCCGCCCGACCGCCCCCCCAGACCGCCCCCCCGCCTTACGATCAGGTCGGGCATGTCCCCCTACAGGCGGATTGTGGACGAAAAAAGAAACATACCCCGAAAATGCCCCAAACATATTCAAAAATGATGGAAAAAAGTTTCCAGACTATTTTTTTGACTATTCTTGAATATTCCTCCTGTAGAGGGACAGGCCCGACTGAACCTTACGAGCGTGGGGCCTCCGACGGCACAGGCGAGGATAGGGGGAGGAGGGGCGGTCTCGGGGCGCCGCTGCTGGTCATCAATCACGGTTCAGGGCTCCGGAGTCCTTCAGGCTTCAGGGGGCTCCGAGGCGTTCCTAGACGGAAGGGGGACAAAAACGGCAGATGAGGGGGTAGAGATGGAGATCAAGGAGGGAGGAGGGGCGCGGGGGCGAGATGGAGGTGAAGGAGGAAAGAGAAAGGGGAGGAGGAAGGAGGATCCATCGCCAGCTTCCACTTGTCGAACAGCACTCTCTCCGACTGCCGCGTCTGCAGGAAGCCCTTGATCAGGTACTCGTAGTAGGAGTCCCCGCGGGCCCCCAGGGACACGTCGGAGCCCTGGGGTCCGTGCTTGTTGTAGTAGATCGGGAGCAGGCCCTGAGGAGCGAGAGGATGGCGGGGAGGGGAGCTGTGATAAGTGAGACGAGGAGGGAGGAGGAAGGGGTCGAAAAGGATGACGATTAGAAGGAGGGGGGGGACAGAGGAGGAGGAGGGGGGAGGGATGATAGGGGGGAGAACGGGAGCAGACTGGGGAAGAAGGAGCAGCAGCAGGGAGGAGAGGAGGAGGATGGGGGGCAGCATAGACGAGCCACGTAAAGGCGGGAGAAGGAGAGGGAGCGGAGGGGGAGGCCGAGAGGGAGAGAAGGAGTAGTAGGACG